TATATTGCACAGAAAGGACTCATCCATAGGGTAAAGTTATGCATAAACTTTTATAATGCTTATCATTTTACTTGCAGGATTTAGCAGCTCGTAATGTCTTAGTTGGAGAAGGAGAAATATGTAAAGTATCAGACTTTGGCTTGATAAGAGAATTGCCAGCAAACATGTCCTCCTATCATAGCTCTACTCCAGTGCCTCTTCCAATTAGATGGATGTCTCCAGAAGCATTGTCAAATAAATGTTTCTCAGAAGCATCTGATGTATGGTCATACGGTGTACTGCAGTGGGAAATGTTTAATCCTAATGAACTCCCCTATGATTCCCTCGACAATTTTCAAGTATTTATGAAAATCCTGTAAATTTTGCAAGTTACTTACTTATTCATTCTTTTATCAGGTTGTGCTAAAAATAAAGGAAGGATACCAACTTACAATACCTAATGAATGTCCACAAACAGTAGCTAACATTATGAAAGCATGCTGGCAAACCGAACCACAATTAAGACCAAATTTTCACCAGATTACGACTATTCTTACAACAAAGATTTAACTAAAACTTCTTACTCTCTGCTACTTTGATAAAATATAATTAGCATTTTAGATCACTTGTATTATAGTTGTATATATTGTATAGATTTTTCAGTATTTAGCTTTAATGTGTAAAGTGTTTTTCAAAAATATTTTTTAGCCGTGCCAGGAGAGATGGGGGCAATGTAATGTATGAGTGAGATCATAGGTACTTTTGTGTATTAATTGTGCACAAACAATGAGTTTTGAATTTTTTCACTGCATGGAATTGAAAAAAACTGGTATTATTATTTATGGTTCATAGCTATGATATAAATATTTGTGATGATTAAATTTGTCTTCGGAGTTGTGCTGGCCAGCGCCGCGCCGCTAAAACAAGAAGGCGTGGTAAATACATTTTGTTCCCGCCTATATTTTTATGAGTCAGAGTCACGTTCAGTACAAGTAATGTAATGTTGTATTTTATCTCCATTATTATTGTTGCTATTTAGCTCAAATTATCTTTTAAAAGAATGAGTAGTGAAGGAGGAGGTAATAATGGCCAGCAAGATCGAGAAGACAGTGACCTTCTTACCATTAGACCATTGTAAGCCCCTCCCTCTTATTATTATTATTATTATTATTATTATTATTATTATTATTATTATTTACTTATGTTATTATTAATATTAGGGGAGCTGGACAAGAAGTGGGACGGTCGTGTATAATGCTTGAATTTAAAAACAAGAAAATAATGGTGAGATAATGATAATAAAAAATTAATTTTTATGAATAAGAATTTACACAATTTTAAAAAAATCATGAAATTAAATCCCCGTGAAAGATACTGGTACTATGCTACTAATGGTTGTAATTAGTTATTCTGCACTTTGCAAAACTTGTAATTAAAACATTATTATTATTATTATTATTATTATTATTATTAATTTATTAATTAATAGTTGGATTGTGGTATTCATCCTGGTTTATCTGGTATGGATGCACTTCCTTACACTGACATGATTGAATCAGACGAAATTGATCTGTTACTAATTACACAGTGAGTATTGAATTGTTGCATTTTTTATTTCATAATAATAATTATTATTATTATTTTTTATTTCTAATTATGTTGCTATAGTTTTCACTTGGATCATTGTGGTGCTTTACCATGGTTTCTAGAAAAGGTAATTTTATACATGCACAAACGCTTCTTTAAGATTTAAAATCTTGATGTAAATTTTTATTGCACATAGTTGGAATTTTTTTTTACAATTAACTACTAATTTTTATAGTGATCAGTTATATTACCCTTCATTAAGCATGCACATGGTTATTATTCTGATTCTCAATGCACAGACCACATTCAAAGGGAGGGTATTCATGACTCCAGCCACTAAAGCTATCTACAGATGGCTATTGTCTGATTATATTAAAGTCAGTAACATATCAAGTGACCATATGCTGTACACTGAGAAAGACCTGGAGAAGAGTATGGACAAAATTGAAATTATTAACTTTCATCAGGTCAGAGAAGAGAGTGAGAGAGGGAGGGGTAGGGAGAAAAGTGAGACAAATAAAAAATTTATTAGAGAAGGAAGTGGGAAAATGAGTTATTTTATTATTAAAAGAGTAGAAAATATTCTTGTTATTATTATTTTATTTTTATAGGAAGTCGATGTTAGTGGCATTAAATTCACAGCATATAATGCTGGGCATGTCTTAGGAGCAGCAATGTTCATGATAGAGATTGCTGGAGTTAAAGTATACACATTACATAACACTGTATACTATAACATGAGTCT